CGCCGCCACAGCTCACAGCCTCTTCGGTCACGGCCCTCAGGCGCAACACAGCGTCGACTGTCGAACGCCCCGCCCGAAAACCAAATTGGGCGTCCGACAGATCGGGGCCCACCTCGCAAAGGTGCCGGACGATGCGGGCAGAAAGAACCCTCTCAAACAATTTGCCCGCCTCGTCCAGCAGCACGATGGGCCTATAGGCCGCGACCGAATCGGCAGGCCGTCCCGGCTTCCTCAATAGGACCAGCTTCCCGCTCTTCCAGCACTCAGGGAAGCGTCCCGACGCCAAGCTAGCGTCGAACACCTCCCCGAGGCGGTCTGCCAAGTGGTTGAGGGCCAGGGCCAGCACTCGGGCCGGTACCCCGTCTGGCCCAGGGGCGGTGTTCTTGGAACGGATCCGTAGAACAGCCGCCCCTACCTCCGAATCCCGGACGGGCGGAACATTTTCCTCCCCGTGCTCCCCGTCGTCTCCGGCCAAGGAGGCCATCGCCGGGGGAGTGTGTTCCGCTCGTTGCGGGAAAAGGCCCTCAACCACTTCTCGCAGGAAGCTGGGCTGGAGAGTCTCCGTAAGGGGGGGGGCCCGACGCGCGGAGCTTTTGTCGCACCGCGCGGTAAGGGCGACCCCAGGGGTCACGATTAAGACCCTCCAGCATCTCCTGTCTTTTTTCTTCTTTGGCGCGGCTAATGGCCAGCTTCAGAGTTTTCCGCGCCCGTCGGTACTCCTCATGAAGCCGGTCCTCCTCACCGTCTCCACGGTGACGCCGCCGACTGCGCGTGTAGGACCTCCGGGCACGTGTACAGGCCGCACGGAGGTCCGCCAGCTCCTGGGACCACCAGTAGACCTCCTTCCTTGGAGGCCGACGACCTCGAACGCGGGGCATGGCCGCATCGCATACATGCGTAATCGCATCGCGAAAGCGGCCAGCCCCCACGTCGACCTCCTCGGTCGGAGCCTGAGGAGACAGCCACGAGTGAATTATGGCTGCCTCCTCTAGTAGGTCCCGGTTCAGCCTGGCAACAGCCCACCGCGGAAAGCGGGATAAACGCCGCGCCACGTGACCCCTACTGGAGTCCCTGGGTCCGGGAGAGCTCAAATCGGATATACAGGTGATCCGAGAGCGTCTCAACCTCTTCCAGGACACACCAGTTCCTTACTCGTGCGGCGAGGGCAGGGGTAGCGAACGAAAGGTCCACTATCGACCCCCCCTGCTGTCACCCATCCAGTTTGGACGGGGAGGGACAGAATAGGGCTCCGCGACTACGGCAACACCTATCGACCACTGTGCCACGGTTTGCAGGAAGAGATCCTGCGCCGCGGCACAGTGGTTCAGGTTCGTCTGGACCAGGAGGTTGGAGACTTGATCCATTACTGGATAGTCTCTACAACCTCCTCCATGGGCGACGACGTCGACGCACGAACTACATCGGAGGCAGCCTGGGTCGACTGGCTAACCCCCGACGTCTGCCGAGAACTGCGGGGAGGCTTGCAGCCTCTCTGCCCCATCTGGTGATTGGCGGGCTTATTGCCCGCCGCACACACTGGGCAGTGAGGGGCGGCAGAGCATTCTGCCGCCTTATGCCCCGGTTGACCGCAGCGGAAACACAGTCCGCCGCAGTCAAAACAACTGTCGCACTTGACGCGCGTGTGTCCCGATGCTAGGCATTTGTAGCATCTCATCGGTCTCGCCGCCAGGACTGTGATCCTGGCGCTCACGAAACCGACGAGCAGCCTGCCGGCGTCGGCCAATACTTTGGCCGACGCTACGGGACAGCTGACCCACACGGCGCCAAGCCCTCCTGGACCGGGGCGGATGGTGCCGACCCTGACGTTGTCCGCGCTGCACCCCGTCTTCTCCCGGATTACAGCGCGGACATCTTCGGCCGTCACTGAGTCGTCCAGGCCCGAGATGCGCAGTTCCGCGCACTTGGTAGGCCTGGCGACCCTGACACCATCTGTGGCTGCAAATATTCCCCGCAGCTTCTCAGCGAAGGAGTCCGCCGTCTTTGCACCTTCAGCCCCAGGGAACTCGAGAACTCGAGCTCCCGTCTGGGCGAGGCGCATCCTGACCCCCACCGTCCCAAACTCGTTGGCGAGGCTGTCCCGGGCCTTCTTGAAGACGGCCGCATAGGACAGCCCGCCGTCAGCCGCCTCCGGGGACACGGTCACAACTACAGCCGCGGTTTTGGGCGGCTGCAGCTTCCGCGGCCTCTTTGCAGAGGCCGTTGCCACCGGTGGCGAAGGCTGGGCTTGGGCTGCTTTTTGGGCAGCCTTTCTGGCCCGCCTTTCGGGACTTCTTGGAGCCCCTCGCCTCCTGCCAACCCTCGTTGGAGGGGGCAGGTGCGGAGGGGCCCGGCAGGGGTGTCGGAGTGGGGAGCGGAGGGAATGCCACTCCGCTCCTCGGCGCCGTTTTAGGCCCCGTCTTGGCCGGCGCCTGGGGATGTGCCTTGGCCGGCGCCTTAGCCGGTGCCTTGGCCGGCGCCTGGGCCGGTGCCTTGGCCCCCCTCCTCGGCTTTTGGGGAGCCGATGGAGTCGGGGCAGACGCCGCCGCCGCGTAGGAGACGCGGCCTCCCACTACGGTGAGCGCGGTCGGAGCGGCGGCCTTAGGCCGCTGTGCCGACGCGAGCGGGGGGCGCATAATCGGCGCAGGAGGCAGTCTCGCCTCCAGGCCAGCCAGGCGTCCGTCCAGCATATTCCCAACTGCGATGAGGATTTCTCGCAGTTGGGAATCAAATGCCCCTGAGTTGGTGGTAGGGGCAGGCTGGGACGCGGACGGGGCTTCCCGCTCGGGGAGGTTCGCCTGGAAGCGGGCGAACTGAGCACTCAGCTCATTCACCCGCTCCGTCAGCCTCTCGTTGGCCACCTGTAGGCGCGAAACGTCGCCCACTAGGCCCTCCACGACCTCCGACAAAGCGGAGGAGGAGTCCTTAAGGGCCCTCACAAACGAGCCCTTAAGGTTCACGGACTTGGTGGCCACCTTGTGAATGACGGCCACCGCCGCTTTCGCCCTCTCCTGCACGGACACGGGAGCCTGGGGGGCATTTCCGCCCACCGGCTCCCGAACCTTGAGCAGGAGATCCGCGATCTCCTCCTCCGCTACGGCCTCGCCGTCCACCCGTACACTTCTGTAGGACTCCGCGTTGGAGAACGCGGAGCCTGACGGGGTTAAGACCGGGGCCGAGGCCGGTTTGCGCGCCCTCCCTCGGCGGCTGCTTGCCACCTTTGGTGGCATCATTTCGCCGGACGTGTCGGTCCCCTCTTCCCTGGAGCGTCCGCGTTTCCGGCTGTCGCTCCGCTCCGCTTCCATGGCCTCCGCGCCATCCGACGAAGCGGCAGATCCGGAACGCAGCCGATTCGATGCTCTTCGGCTCCCAGAGATCAGAGTCAGACTGACTTCTGGGAGCCCCATCGAGATGGGCGTTCCTGACACCATCTCACCCTCAGTGGATGACCCATCCACTCCACTGTTCCTCTTCTCTTGCATTTCAGAGTCCGTTTTGCTTGCCTGTTTCTGTTTGTTTTGTGTTGGTTGCCGTTTCTTTATATTTTTGTCAGAATTCATTTTCTTAAATAATCCCACGAGTGGGGGAGAACTAAAAGGTCCACCCGGGCAGAGATCCCCCATTACCCGGGCAAGCGTAAGTTTTTAACCCAACCGAGGGGTCCGCAGGTACCTCGGCTTGGAGTGCGCTCGCGACTGAACTTCCCATCAGCCATGCATCCCCTGGCCACGCACCAGAACACGGGATTCGGGGAATTTTTTAGAGAGGTTATCTTCCTCGCGGTCCGGGCGGTTAAGCCAAGACCCTCGCCCCCGATCAGAGCCGCGAGACTTAACCACAGCGCTCTTCTCGGGATTACGATATGCCGACGGTTGACAGGGAGACTACGTCCCCCTGCCTGCTCGGTGGTAGTGTGAGTACACGCCGAGCTCGTCCTCCTTTCTCCACCGCTGTCAGCGGAGAAACTGTGGCCCCTACAGGGCCCCGCCATCAGGTTTTTTACCGAGGTTTCCTCCTCCATGCTCCGAAGAGCGAAGAGCCAGCAGGGCAACCGGCAGACACGCCCACCCTGCTGGACCAGGCCTTGCCCGAGAGCCGATGAACGGCTGCCTCTTCTGCTAGAATATTGGCCGCTGGCGATAATCCTCTCCTCCAAGAGGACAAGGAGGGAACAGTACCATCGCCAGCGTTTCCAGGGTGCACCACGAGGAGGTTTTCTAGCCCAGCACCCCAAACCCTATACCAACCCGTTTGCCCAGTGTGGTATAGTTGGCCAAAACCTCCTTTCTAAGGAGAGTCCTATGTCCAGCACTGGACTGTGAAGGGCTGTTGATGATGATGATGTTTTAGATGCCTCCCACTTGGCTTAAGTATCGATCGCTTCTCATGCTTGACAGTTTTACCAACTAAGCATCTTATCTTTTTGATTCTACTAAGAATTTCTTTCGAACGTCCTTCTTATAATAATTTACAAGATGTGAATTGTTAAAGTATTGAGATATTTTCATCGATTCCTAGATTTTCTTGTAAAATATTCCTCGATAAATAGAAAAAAATATTCTTCTAATTTAATAAGACGGCCGGATAGCGCAGTGGTTTGTGTAACGGACTGCTACGCGAAAGGTCGCGTGTTCAATTCCAGCTCAAGTCAAACATTTGTGTGCATGAACATTTTATGTTTGATTTGGTCTTATATGTATTTATTTACGAAAAAAGAAGTATATATATGTATTTATATCGGTTGTCTAGTACCCATAGTACAAGCTCTGCTTAGTTTGGGACTAGATGGCGTTGTGTGAATGTAGTAGATTATTATTATTATATCAAAATGTAATATACTTAAAATCCTTTTAAAAAAAGTGAAACCGACTTCAAACAATACTGACAAAGAGCACTAAAAATTAAAAAATAATTAGTTACAAATTACTTAATAATAGGCAAAGATTAATTGGTACCTAATGCGATTTCAACAATATCAATAATATATAATTTTTCTTCTACAGGAGATCCTCGGCCACGCCTCACCTGGTATCATGAGAATACCGTGATAGACGACTCTTACGAGCAGCGGCCAGATGGAGTTACAGTCAACACCCTTACCTTCCCCAACATTGGTCGCCAGCATCTGAACTCCAGACTCATCTGTCAAGCTTCGAACACCAACTTAGCAGCGCCTGAGTCAAAACTGGTGATATTAGATATCAATTGTAAGTTTATGTGGCAAATAGCAATAGTCTGTTATAGGTGTGTATAATTATACGCTATTTACCTAAATTCCTAATAAAGAAGTAACGAAATAATGTCGCCATGTAGTAAATTCCGCAGGAACTTCGAAACAAAAAGTCTATTACCCAGAACCCCAATACCTAAACCCCAAGTACATCATCGAATAATAATAATAATAATAATATTCTACCACATTCACACAACGCCATCCCCAAACTAAGCAGAGCTTGTAGTATGGCTACTAGACAACTGATATGAATACATAAATACTATTTTTTTTGTAAATACATACATATTATACGTAGAAACACATCAAACATTAAATGTTCAAGCACACAAATGTTTGACTTGAGCGGGAATCGAACCCGCGTCCTTTGAAACAGCAGTCATCGAAAGAAGTATAATCGGTAGATGTCAATTTATTTTACTGCATATGACTTCACGGATAGCGTAGTGGTTTTAGCGGTCAGTGCTGCGCTGCGCCGAGTGTTGTGGGTTCGAGCCGCGCATGGAACAACACTGTGTGATCCACAAAATGTTGTTCTAAATCTGTATGTATGTTTGTAAAGTCCCCGCGACACAGGAATATATTCCTAATGCAGGTGTAGTCTTTTAAAGAAAAAAAAAACAAAAAATATACCATTGCACTGAATGGCTGGTATTATAGGTTTCTAGATGATATTAAGTTTTTAATGTATTTATTCAATTAAATTTTTCCCTCATATTTATATATTTGTATGTGTTATTTATTTCAGTTATTTATTATATTTCACATTTTACATCAATACACCTATCTTTTCAAGGTTTGCCAATCAGTTTTAATATAATGTATTGCTGTTAGCATATTCATCTACTCTATGTATCTACCGTGGATAACTTTTATTTGCTGGATAAGCTAAGAATTGCAGCTGTTGTTATCCCTAAAAAAAAAAAAAATATTTATACAATAATATGTAACTATGTGACAAAAATAGTATGTTATAAATTTTAATTACTATTTATTTTTCACCAAGAGACTATTGTCCCCGAACAGCAGCACAGTTCTAATCCATCTGTCAGCCTATCGCAGACCGCGCAGTTTGATGATAATATGTCTAGGCCTCCACTGATGTGCACCATAGCACTCGCTCACCTTCTCCGTCCAAGTTCTCCCTCCTACTTTCTGGTCGCTTCACCTGGCTCCTTTGGCTACATTTCTAAGCAACATATCTAGTGATAATTTTCATGTGTATTATTTTCCATTTTTAGTATTTATTAATCACAGATTTAAAAAATCATACTTTACTTTTAGTATTCTGACCAAATGACCATACGAATCAGGCACGGCTTTTATAGAGACAATAAAGTCAACCGGATTAATTTAAGAGTTATTTTTATAAATAGAACCTCTTATCTAAATGAAAACCAAAACCAGAACCTCCTTTCTAAGGAGAGGCTTATGTCCAGCAGTGGACTTTTTTTGTTATGTGATCTAAATGAAATAAAAAGTAAGGTAAAACTTTGATGCGGCTTACCTATGGACACGGAAATTATTGACACACGTTGTGGTTCTTTATGATAGTTAGATAGGAATTAACGTAATTTATATAGAAAAGCACAGGTCCCTTTTACGATATACTAAATCTATAACAGCACGGATGACGTAGTATTTTAAGCGGTCACCTCGCCGCTTCCTACTGCGCTGAGTGTTGTGGGTTCGATCCCCACATGGGACACCACTTTGTGTGATCCACAAATTGTTGTTCTGAGTCTGAGTGTTCTTTGTGTCCATTTCATGTATGTTTGTAAAGTCCCCCTCGACACAGGATATATACCTAGTGCGGGAGTTGTCTTTTAAAAATTAACTAAAAAAAAGAAAAACGAAATAAAGGCAAATTGTTGTCCTCAAATATATGTAGCAAAATAGGATAATATTCTAGTGTCTAGAACAAGTCGATACCCACACCTCATCTTGTTATGTACCTAACTAGTAGTAGTAACTCTACTAAAAGTAAATAAAGTAGTTTTTGTTTGTAATGCCTTGACTACTCAACCGATTATATTTGTAAATACAGTAGTGCCCCCATCCAGTCAAAAATAGACGAAAACTCCGCCATTATATTTTTTATATTCACATAATTAAACTGAATATAATATCTAAACCTCATTCAGTTTTATCCTGGACTTTAATCAATATTGACAGTCCATTTCGTTACCATCCAAGCACTGGCGGTCACACGTGTTTTAAATACATAATACACTTAATATTTAGTTTTATAAAGCAAGAAGTGTATTCCGACATGTTTTACATCTGAGTCCACTAAAAAAGAAATTAAATCCGATTACTTATTATCAGAGGAACAAAAACTAGCATTAAGTATCTTTCAAATAAAAAAAAGTGCTATCCTAAAGAAATATCTGAATTGATTAAAGCAAGCGAAGTCGTAAACGAATACTAGTAATAAATAAATTGAGGTGTTATGTAAATGACATAAATCCTGACACCTGAGGGTACTATTTACGTAAAGTGCCGTTTTCGATTGTATTATAAGCTGGTACTCAATATAAATTTCTGGCTGGGTAAGTCCAGTTGTTAATTTCAATTACTTGATTCCAAATACGTAATATCTTTGTCAAATAAATCTTAAAGCGACCGAGATAAATGTGCATGTTGTATATCGCGATAAAATATAGTCTATGTCCTTTCCCAAGAATTAAACTATCCCCATACCAAATGTCATCTAAATTGGTTTAAAAGTTCCAGAAATCATCCTTTGAGGGAATGAAAAGTGGAGTGGAAGTTTTGTATGAGGAATCGGTTATTGATTTACTTTACTTACTTTACTTTTGTCCCGGGTAAGGACATAGAAAAGTTTTTTCTATGTCCTTTCCCGGGACACAAACTATCCCTAAACCAAATTTGATCTAAATCGGTTCTGCGGATTAAGTGTGTATAGTAACAGACAGACAGTCAGACACACTTTCGGATATATGTCAGACACACATATGGATTATTAGAGTTAGCTATTCTATATGTTTTAAAACGTGGGAGAGCCGTGCTTCGACATACATGGGTCGGCTCGGAGTAATATCACAGTCTCACAGAAAACCGGTGTTAAGCGGTCTCTTGTTGATCTTCAAATTTCCTCTATTTTTCTTCTGATTAATTTCGTTGCGGGTTCCAAGACAGTTAATTTTTTTTCCTGGGACTTCCCTGAGTGTCATTCGGTGTGTTCGTGGGTCACTGCTGTTGATCCTGGCGTACAGGCGTTAAAGTGGTGGGCGTGTGGGGGGGATAAGTTCCATAAAAAAAAGCCCAGCACTTAAAAGCCGATAACTTACCGCCAAGCGACTCGTCTTCTCAGTTACCCTCAGTATCACAAAAAATAACAAAAACAATCAAACATAACATTAAATAATCTCCTATAAAAGCTATTCTTGCTCTATACTTGTTTTCTATGGGAAATAATGGCCTCCAAGAGTAATTAGTTTTGCCACATTCTAAACCAACGTTAACTTTTACTCTGCTTAAGTAATTTGGTTAACTTAATTTTAAATCAATTTAGCATAATCAATTTATTGATATAATTTAAGAAATTTTAGAACACTGAATTTTCAAGATTTTTAAATTTAATTTGTCGTTTCCCTCTACTTAGTAATTCGTTTGTTACAGTAAGGCCATTGAGTGTGCAGATCTTGAATAAGCGGCAGCCCCTGTCAGCGGACAGAAACTACGTTGTCGAGTGTAGGACGGTGGGCTCAAGACCAGAGGCCTTGGTCACGTGGTGGAAGGGCGGGAAACAGCTGAGGAGGAATGCAAAAAACGTGAGTATCTCTCAGCCTTTAATAGTCATAAAACTCTTCTCAATTTTTTTTATCGCCTCTTTATACAGAAAGTTTGAAGTAGGCTGTCATAAATTATATTGCCTTTTCCATATAACAGTAGTTTTGTTAGAAGTTACTGAGCCCGAGAAATCTAAGTCAAGACATTTCTAAATATGATTATACTATTATTTGGTTATATGTATTTGATTGGTATAATGAATTGGTATATTGGATTGGTAAATTTAATTGGTATATTGGATAGTGTATGTTATAGCTCCTTCAGTCGCGAGAGAGCCATGCTCCGGGATATGTGGGCCTTCTCGGTCTTAGAAATACCACGGCCTCATAGAAGACCAGTGTAAAAAGATATTTTCAATGTTTTGCAACGAGTGAATTAGGTTACCGGAGAAATAACTGGCTATGGGCACTCTAATGGCCACAAGGAATTTGTATTTCTTGAGGTGCAGATGTCCATGGCCATTCACTTACCAGATGATTTGTCTACTCCTCTGCTTTCCATACCGTAAAAAAAAGGTTTCTAGTACTTCTCCTTAGTTTTAGAAAACTTAGGAATTTTCACTCAAAAACTTAACATTAATATTACTGACGGTAAAAATTGGGCAAGTTTTGAAGAAGTGTGTGATGCACGAAGTAAAGATTTGGCCATTTTAAATTTTAAGAAAGCGGTAACAAACTCAAACTAAAAATATCTATCATCATCATCATCAACAGCCTTTAATAGTCCACTGCTGGACATAAGCCTCTCATTAGAAATGAGGTTTTGGCCTACTATACCACGCTGGCCAGACGGGTTGGTATAGGGTTTGTGTCAAGTTTTCCTTCTCTCTGCAGTGCTGTTGTTCTGCGTAGTTTTTTCCCTTAGTCGGCTCTTACGATCCGAAAATATCTATATTTCATAAAAATAATAATTAAAATCGTCTTTTATATAGACCCTAAAGTCATAGATCAACACACACAACAGTAACATACAAAATAAATTTAATAAAAAATAAACTTATGCAAAATTTATAATATGCCTGTGCTGATCTACAACCGCTTATTTAAAAGGGGTTGAACCTTATGAGAAGATAGGGCAAACAAACTCTAACTAAGTAGAAGAACGTGGTACTATACAGCAAGCTTTAGATGCGTCGGATTTAATTACATTAAACCTGGAGAAAAAAAAATCCTTCTTAGTTGGTCATCGGTTGAAAGTAAAAAGGCAGTAATTAAATACTAAATCGTTTAAACTTTAAACTAGCTGCAGATTTGCATGCTGCTGTTAAAGAGATCAGATTAGTAGATCTCACTGCTTAAATTATTAAGTCTGCACTAAAAAGAAAAGAACGTAATAGAACAAGGCAAGTTTTTGAAATTACATAAGGGCCAGTTTGTAAATGGGCCACTATCTCATCAGAAGGATGTACGTTACCCAAAATAAGCGATGTATTGCTTCACTATCATTCGAAAACTGATTACTGTTCTAAGCCACGCTTAAACCCATATTGATTGAACAACCGCACGACAAATGTATTCTCAGTATTAATAATCTGCTCGCAACAATAATCTGGTATTTACTTTATGCTAAAATCAAATAGCAGTAGACCCTGAATAGCAGGAGTATTTAATTAAATTGGTATATAAAACCAGGTTATTAAACTTTTCGTTGTTCATTGGGTTAAAAATTTAAAGAAATAAACAAAATAACAGTAGCAAGTCAATATATATAAATGTAATATATGTTCAAAAAAACAGACAGCTTCTTGAAAAGAAGTGATGTACATGCGTTTAATACCAGAAATAGAAATAAACTTGTTGTACCTGTCTGTAGGCTCCAAAAGATAAACAAGTCATTTTGAGGTCAATATGTCCGATTCTATATAATCCTAAATAGTATACGAAATTTTAGTATAAACAAATTTAAATCCACAATAAAACGTAAACTGTGTCAGACGGCCTATTACTCAATTGTGGATTACGTAGAAGACAAGAATGCTTGTGATTAATTTAGCACAGGGTATTTTGTAGTGGAAATGTGATGAGGGCTAGTGTGTCTTTTATTAATTCATCTATTTTTTTGTTTGCTCTTCATTGCCTTTTTACCTTTTAGTCCTTATAACTTACGTACTGGCACACATCAAAACAATGTTGTGTATTTTTAATGATGCCATTGTTATCTGTTGATTGAAAAAAGGGGCCGTGAGTTTGTTTGCTCTTCCTTCTCATGAGGCTCAACCCCTTGGAAATGGGCGGTTGTAGATCGGCACAGGCGTATAAGATATTATCGATACGTATATATTTAGTTAGCTAAATGTTTAAAAAAACTTTTGTTTGTTGCTATTGTGTGTGTTGATCTATGACTGTAGAGTCTACACAAGAGATGATTTCGATTTTTTTTTTCATACACCTAGGAGAACATAGGGCTCTCGTTACAGAGAAGGTTTTTGGCCTACCTTACCACGCCGGCCAGACGGTTTGGTGTAGGTTTTATATTTGTTATGGTCCTTACTATGATGAATTTAAGAATTAAATATTCTAATCATATTTAAAACACCTTTATTTATTTTATTTATGACTTCATGTACAAATATATACATCGGAGGACTTAAGGCCTAAGGCATTCTCTGCCAGTCGACCGATTGATTGATGGATTACATAGATTATAAACTGAAACTCAAACTCAAACTTATACTCAAACTATAATTAATAAAGTTTTTGATGTATACGATAAATACAAATAAATCATATAAAAGATATTTCTTATATTTTAAAAGTCCATACTCAATTCAAAATCAGACAGAATTTCAAGAAATGCTGCTTTGTAATTCTTAACTGTATAGAGTTGTGAACTTCAGACATCTATTTAATATACTCTAAGGGTTTGGTGTAGCGTATAGGTTACACGAAAAGATAGATTTGGATAGAACATAAAGTTGTTGATACAGATGATCATGAGTGTTATAATAAGGTAAAGATTTATTAAGGAAAACATTTATTTATTTAAGTTCTCGTTTCATAGAGAAAAAAAAATACCGACTATTATTTAGATTATTTTAGTGCAGATTGTATACATACAGAGATATAATCGTATCTGTAAAACACTTCGCCAAAAAAGACACTGCGCTTCAGGTGTAATTAAAAATAGAATCTATCAGAGAGACGCTATAAAGATTTATAAATTTAAATCTCTTTTTATGTACATACTTCAAGTTTAATTAATAGTTGTATAAATAAAATCCTTTTACTAGAATTAATTTAAAACGTAGTAAGAAAATACAAATGTAAATTGTCTAGTATTAAATTAAAATAATTAATGAGAAGTCTATGAAATAATGATTCACGTTAGAAATGTCACCACAAGGCATTTGAAAAGATATTATGACTTGTAATTACAACAAACCACTAATTTCGAAGGCACACGCTATGAAATCATAGACGTAATTAAAACATTAGTCTTTATGGTGATGTACTAAAATATTTACAAACAGATATGGAATACATGTGCGTACTATTCTTGGCTAGTTTCGGCCACCTAATGGATTGTTAACGACATTTTTTATACTGCATTTCTGAGCAGGGTCCTGGCATTATTAGCTTTGATATTACCGACAAGGCACTACGTGATTAGGATAATAAGACATTGCAGGAAGTAAAGAGACTAACTTGAAACGAAATATGAGATTTAAATTTGTATTAAAATTGTTATGCTTCGATTACAGTGTAAATATTTGTTGTAAAATAAAGAATTAAATTAATAATAGTAATATTTTTCACACATTTCACACACGGCCATCTGATCCCAAACTAGGCACAGCCTGTACTATGGTAACCACACTAATGATAATCATACTTATATATTTTTAAATACATACATATTACAGATAAATTACACCCAGACACAGAACAAATGAGAGTGCTACTCACACAATATTTGTCCTGGGTGGCAATTGAACCTACGTCCTCCGGCTTAGCAGTCAGAGTCACTAACCACTAGACCAACAGGCCCGTCAAGCTGTTTGGGATAAACTGAAAGCAACTTACCAAAGTGCTGGGCCTTCTAGAAAAGCTACTCTATTAAAACAACTTGTTTTAAAACAGTACGTACACAAAAAATGCCTATTAACATTCCACTGATGAACTTTCTGTCTGGCTTGCTGGTCCGGTGGTTAATAATATTCGGTCATGATCGGTGAGGTCCTGACTGATCATGTCCATAGGTTCGATTCCCACTCAGGACAAATAATTGAGTAATGATAGTAAGCTAATGTCCAGCAGTGGACTGTTATGAGCCGGTACACGATTATTAATTTGCTTTATGTCTAAGAGTAATTTACCTATTATATGAATGTATTTTTTATTATTTAAATATGTATTTGTGCAGTCTGGTCACCATAGCACAGGCTCTGCCTAATTTAATATTTTTCTGAAATATTCTTGGCTATCTTCTTAATTTTGGCAGTTTATCTGGCAGTACATGACTTTCGTTTATCACATCAATAACTAGGAGAAGTAAATAAATAAAACAATTTAGCTTTTTTCGAACAATGTTAGCTTGTCAGTTAACTGTAAACGTTATTTATAGTTTACACGTCACAAAAATATGGCAGTACAATAAATATGTTTCCTTTGTTCATTTTCTTGCTCTTTGTTTCAGAATTCTCACTACAATGACAGTTTGTTATTGGTGAACAATTTTCCTCTGCTGTTTTATTGAAATAATTTCTTGTCTTGTTCCTTACAGTTTATGTGTAGTATTAACAATAATAAATATTAGGGATGTCTTAGACTATATACAACGCCATCTAGTTTGAAACTAAGTAGACCTTGAACTATGCAAGCTAGATTGACTGATAGAATACTTACATATTTTTTAAAAAAAAAAAACAACCAAACTTCGAAAAAAAAATTTGCAGATTATACAAACTGACCCGGGAATCGAACCCGAGACCTCAGCACAGCAGTCGCATACGCTACTTACTGTACCAACAAGATAGTCAAAA